CTTTTTCAGATATCAAAGGAAATCAAAATTTTACATGGTAACAAAACTAGCTTTGTCTGATTCATTGACAGGACTTTACATACATACATACATACATACATACATACATACATACATACATACATACATACATACATACATACATACATACATACATACATACATACATACATACATACAACATTCGGCAAATTATAGTATTATAAGATTATAAGATTATAGTAAGATACGACCAAGGTTAGGGGGGTCAGAGTGAATGCTGTGATTAGCGATTCCAAAATGGTTCGACGCTCTCGTTTTCTAAGACATTACGATTCAGTTCAGAAAACCGCCCCGCCGATGCTGCCAGGAAACCACCGCCTATGCCGCGCAAGCCCTGTGTCAGTCAATTTACTGCTTAAAATTCATACACCTCCTAGCGTTCAGATGCACGTATAATTCAACTTTCAACTCACTTTTCATTCCGTGAGAAAGGGTAATAAAGATCGACGTTCTCTCGTTAACGCCAATTATAAATTACCTCAAAAAATCTTTTTCCCCGAGAAAGTTCTCAAGAAACATGTCCAGCATAGCAATCGAGCTTTAATTGCTATGCGTGTCGAATCGTGCTCCGCCCCATCAGAGGCGCCGGCGGGGATGAAAGGTCGCGAGTATGCATGGCTGCTACTGCTCTCGGCCTGCGAGCGGTTACTCAGGGGCGGATTCAGACCGTATTTGCCGTATTGGGAAATGCGGTCTAGATTTCAAAGTGCCCTTCGAAATTTTGCGCTAAAAAATACAGAAAACAATTTGATGGAATTTGGCTATATTCTTTATTTGTTTTTTGTTTTTTCATACAATACATACATACATACATACATACATACATATACATACATACCAGCAATGTCCGTCACTTACATAGCAATGTCCGTCACTCACACAGCAGTGTCCGTCACTCACACAGCAATGTCCGTCACCTGTGGTCGTGATCGCTGCTTACTATGCATGCACTAGCTACGGATGCAGCTTGGCCATGATTTCATCTTGCTACATTGCGTAAACATCACGCTCAATCTGGCGCGTACAAGCCATGATCAGGCACGCATTAATTCACACATCGTGCGTATATACATACATGTGAGTGACGGACACTGCTGTGTGAGTGACGGACACTGCTGTGTGAGTGACGGACACTGCTATGTGAGTGACGGACACTGCTGTGTGAGTGACGGACACTGCTATGTGAGTGACGGACACTGCTGTGTGAGTGACGGACACTGCTGTGTGAGTGACGAACACTGCTATGTGAGTGACGGACACTGCTATGTGATTGACTGACATTGCTATGTGAGTGACGGACACTGCTATGTGAGTGACGGACACTGCTGTGTGAGTGACGGACATTGCTATGTGAGTGACGGACACTGCTACCTGACTGACGGACACTGCCCCGCCCTTTTTACTACCATACTTGTCACCTACCTTACCTGTAATCACGCGTACCTTGTCTGATACCGTATCTCCAATCACGCTTACCATTGCGCGAATTATCGATTAATGATTAGGATTGTGCCTCGTGGCCACCGACTTGCTCATTATGCGAGAGATTGCCGTCGGCTTTCGCTGCGTATCCTATTGTCATCGCTACGAGTGCAAGGCGCTCGCGTTATCGCGAGAGTGGGTGTCGTGATAACAACAAGTAATAATAACATAACCCCCGCATTCAGACACTCTAACGAGAGAAGGGAAGAGAACCTGAGCCAGCATGAGTGAATCGAATCGCTGCGCCATGCCAGCTGATGAAGTTCCGCCTAGATGCGCCGTACAGTCCGCATTGCCTGCGCTGGGTTTAATATCTATTCTGTTCTCAGTGCGCTGTGGCACATCTATCCCTAGCGATAAACACACGTGGAATATCTTCGTCGGCAACATATTTGACAAAGACAGCCTGGCTGCAAATATTTACAGATGGCGTTTGTTTCCTTGTTTTGAAGGGTTGCTGAGTCAAAGCAAATCAAAGCAGCCAATCAGAGGAGCCCAAAACTCTGCAATGGATATAACGTGTAGGAAAAAAATTCGCAGCCTGCCTAGCTGTTGAAGCTGTTACTAACAGGCGAACTGCAAGGATTTATAATGAAATAAATTTACTCGCTGTGCCAACCTTAGCTGCAGGTTTATTGGCTACCCCCTGAACATTAGTAGTCTTTCATTCGTAGTGAATCCACTTCTATATTGAACATATAAATTTGACAGGGCGGCTATCACAATTAAATAACATTTTTATCAGGTGAGCATTTCCTTATTAAAAAAAGCATCGTATAAATCGGAAACTCACATACGATGAATATAGACTAGATTCCATAAACGCTATACCAAACTGCGCGCCACCTATAGTGTTGTATACACGCATGACTCTCTCTGCGGATGTAGTTAGAAGCACATACAAGCACATACAGCCAGTGTCTCGCACATTTAGGTTTCTAAAAGAACTATCTGTTAAAAGGATTACTATAATATTATTTGTCAACCTGATATCATGATTTGTCTACGTTGCTCTTTGAAAACCGCTAAATGTTTGTAATGCCAACCCAGTCGAATCATCGGGGCATGAAAAAAAAACATAATTCTATCGCAGGGCAGTACCGGTATTTTTGTTGTTGTCATCGATCAGTTCCCTGAACAAATACACGCAGGGTATCATGCCCAAAGTTCTATATATACGAGTCTATATCAGCTGCCCAAATAGCAAGCCTCACGTACTTCATCCACGATTAAAAGACACATGTACACGATGACAACGATGACGACGATCTACTAACATTTTTACACGTTAAACGGTAAATTGACGTACGATATTGGTACGCTTGTATAAAGTGAGAATGAGATATGGAAGCAGAGGAGGAAAGAGAGCGAGAGAGAGAGAGCGCGCGCAAGAGCGAGAGAGTGACAAAGACACACACAAACACGCATATAGGCACGCACAGAGAATGGAATGATACGGCAATGACTGTATGACCCAGGGTAATGTTGGGTTAATACTAGTTTATGGATGATTTAGCCACTTGCCCGCAATACTTTGAGCACAATAAGCGCAAATATGTAGCAGCAAAATAACATATCCGATGTTTTATACCTATCTATCTATCTATCTATCTATCTATCTATCTATCTATCTATCTATCTATCTATCTATCTATCTATCTATCTATCTATCTATCTAGCTAGCTAGCTAACTAGCTATCTAGCTAACTAGAGCCTATTTATCTATCTATTATCTTATCTATCTATCTATCTATCTATCTATCTATCTGTTATTATCTATCTAACATCTATCTATCTATCTATCTATCTACTATCTATCTATCATATCTATCTATTATCTATCATCTATCTATCTATTATCTATCTGCTGTTTGACTGTCTATCTATCTATCTATCTATGCGTATCTATCTATCTATCTATCTATCTATCTTATCTATCTACTCTATCTATTATCTTATTATCTAAGTCGTATTTATCTATCAATCTATCTTTTATCTGTGTGTATCTATGTGTGTATGTGGCGTGCGTGAGTCGTGCGGCGTGCGTCGCGTGCGTGCGTGCCGTGCGGCGTGCTGTCGTGGCGTGCGTGCGTGCGTGCGTGGCGTGTGTGTGTTGTTGTATCTGTCTCCGACTCTCCCCCTCTCGTATTAGCATCTCGGTCGTAATGCATCTCGCTCGTGCAAGTAGTGTTCTCTCATTCTATTCTCACTCACCTCCGCGTATTGTTCCTGCTATCATCTTAGCGTGACTGCTCAGCTCTTCCTTCATCCTGCCACAGTACCCCTTCTCTCGCCCTTACTCTTATCTGCTTCGTTTCAGACTAGCGTGCTCTGTATACGCCCCCTTTCCTCCCTCCCACTCTCTCGCTCTTATTGTGGCCAACAGTATATGGCTATCTGACATTTCATGCGCGATCTTGTCGACGTTACTCATATAATACGGCGAATTCATCGTGGCACAACACGGCGCAGTTCGCCATTGTGCCTGCTTACGGATTACGTTTGTCATGACGAACGCAGCGCATGCAGATATCTGTCGACATTACCGAGGGGGACGACGGCTTCGCGGCGGTGTGTACTATTTCCGCTTCTAATTTCCATTTGGACTGATCCAGACGTACAGCAGACGTCACGCTGTACAGTGTTAATAAGTGAGCATTCGGCAGAAATCTTAGGCGGGGGTGTAAAATAACAGTCGGTTTCAATTTACTGGTGGCTATTGTGGGTTACAGTCGATATAGTGATGCACTGCCGTCAGCACTTCTATTGTATGGCAGTTAATAGCACTCCACAGAATCTCCTCGTCACAACACAGAGGCGACAGGGAAGCAGCGGGAAACGGGAACGGAGGAGGAGGAAAAGAACGGATCTGTGAGTGCTTATTACTGATACATAAGAGTGCTGACGGAGTGCATCGACTTAGGGTATCAGCACTGTAAAACGAGGAAGAAGGTGAGCCACTCATAAATTGAAACGACTGTTATTTTTACAGCGCCGCGCTAAGATTTCTGCCCGAAGGCCAATTAACACCTGACAGGGCGTCCCTGCTGTCGCTATCAGCAAATGGAAATTAGAAGCGGAAATAAGGTACACACGCAGGCGCGCGCGAAGCGCCGGAGTAAAATATCTGGGCATGCGCTGCCGTTCTGTCAATGCCCAAGACGGTAATCCGTAAGCAGGCACAATGGCGAACTGCGCCGTGCTGTGCCACGATGAATTCGCCGTATTAGTATGTCAACGGCAGGGTGACGGGAGCAAGAAGAAGAGATCGGACGCATGAAATGTAATAACGACAGTATAGAAGCCTGATCCTGATACTAGAGCGAGAGAGCTGGAGGAGGAAACAGAGAGACAATCACAAGGCAACGCTACGTCTGAAACGCAAAGGCAGATAGAGTAAGGGCGAGAGATTAGTGGGTACTGTGAGGATGAAGGAAGAGGAGAGTCACGCTAAGATGCATAGAGAAAATACGGGGAGGGAAAGAATAGAATGAGAGACATAGAGGGAGAAGGCCATTATATTATAATGTAAGAAGAACACACAACACACGCGAGAGCCAGAGGACACCGCACAGCACGCGAAGAGGGGCAGCCGCGGGGCACGCCACGCAACGCAGCACGCACCGCACGCACGCACGCCACGCCACGCCAACGACTCCGCACGGCACTCACGCACGCACATCACACATAGTACACACAGATAGATAGATTGAAATAGAATAAATAGATAGTAATAGAATAGATAGACTAGATCACCTGATAGATAGAGATAGATATAGAATAGATAGAGAGTGAGTGAGTGAAGAGGGGATAGATAGGATAAATAGACAGTCAAACAGCACAGATAGATAGATAGGATAGATACGAATCACACGCACTACATAGATAGCACTAGATAGATAGATAGACTAGATAGCACATAGAAATATAATTAAGAATAAGATAGATAGATACGACAGATGATAGATAGATAGATAGATAGATAGATAGATAGATAGATAGATAAATAGCTAGTTAGTCTAGATAGCTAGTTAGCTAGCTAGCTAAGATAATAGAAAACTACGATAGATAGAAAGATAGATAGATAGATAAGATAGATTAGATAGCGAATAGATAGACTCAAGATAGAGTAGAAGTAGATAGGTATAGAAAAACATGCGATAGATGTTATTTGTTGGCTGAGGCTAATCATATATGATACTCTAGATGCTCAAGTATTGCGGGCAGGATACGAGACTCACTATACACAATAAAGCATAGTATTAGACCCGAACATTACCTGGTCATACAGTCATCTGCCGTATCAGTTAGTCCATTCTCTGTGCGTGCCTATTGCGTGTGTGTGTGTCGTCTTTGTCATCTCTCGCATCGTTGCGCCGTCGTCTCTCACGTACGCTGGTGCGTGTCCGTAACGCGCTCTGACTTCCATATCTCATTGCTCAACTTTATAACAAGCGTATCAAATATAACGTAGCGTCGAATTTACCGTTTAACGTGTAAAAGATGTAGTAGAGTCGGTCGTCAGTCGGTTTGGTCAGTCGTGTAGCATGTGTCTTTTAATCGTGGATGAAGTACGGTGAGGAGCAATGCTATTTGTGGCTGCTGGGAGAGTGAAGGACAAAGCTGTGTGGGCATGATACCTTTTACTGGCGTGGAGTGTCGTCAGGGAACTGATCGGGAGGTGAACAACAAAGAATAGCCGGTACTGCCCTGCGATCAGAGAATTATGTTTTTTTTTTCATGCCCCGCAAATGATTCGTCTGGTATGGCCGATTACAAAACATTTAGCGTTTCAAAGAGCAACGTAGACAAATCATGATATCAGGTTTGGCATTATTATATAATCTTATAGTAATCCTTTTTAACAGATATTCTTTTAGAAACGTGAAATTTCGAGACACTGGGCTGTATGTGCTTGTATGTGCTTCTAACTACATCGCAGGAGAGAGTGCATCGTGTATACAACACTAATAGTTGGCGCGCAAGTTGAGTATGAGCGTATGGAATGCTGAGTCTAATATTCATGCGCGTATGTGAGTTCCGATTTATAGCGATGGCTTTTTTAATAAGAAAGCGTGAGCTGAGTAAAAAATGTTAGTTTAATTAGTGATAGCCGCCCTGTCAAATTTATATGTTCAATATAGAAGGTGGATTCACATACGATAGAAAGACTAACTAAGACGTTCAGGGTGCCACAAGTAAACCTGCGAGCTAAGGGTTGGGCACAGGCGAGTAAGATTTATTTCATTATAAAATCCTTGCTATTGTTCGGTGGTCTGTTAGTAACAGCTTCCCAGCGTAGGCAGGCGTGCGAAGTTTTTGTTGCCGTAGCACGTTTATATCGCAAGTTGCAGAGTTTTGCTCTCTGATGCTGGCTGTTTTGATTTGCTTTGACTCGAGGCAACGCCTTCAAAACGCAAGGAAAGCAAACGCCATCTGATAGAATCAGTTGCAGCCAGGCTGTCTTGTCAAATATGTTGCCGACGAAAGATATTCCACGTGTGTTTATCGCTAGGGATAGGAATGGTGCCACAGCGTACTGAGAAACAGGGAATAAACATATTAAACCAGCACAGGACATGCGGATAGTACGGCGCATATCGTGGGTGGCGGAAGGCTTCATCAGAGCTGGCATGCGCGCGAGAGTCGATTCATTCAGCTGGCTCAGGTCTGTTACCCTCTCTGTTAGAGTGTCTGAAGTGCGACGGGGGTTATGTTAATTATTTACTAATCCGTATGTTTAATCAGCGACACCCACTCTCGCGATAACGCGGCGCCTTGCACTCGTACGATGACAATGATACGGCAGCGAAAGCCGAACGGCAAATCTCTCGAATAATGAGCAAGTCGTGGCCACGAGGCACAATCTAATCATTTATTCGATAATTCGCGCAATGGTAAGGCGTGATTGGAGGTACGGTATCAACGAGGTACGGCGTGATTACAGTAGAGGTAGGTGAAGCAAAGTATAGGTAAGGTAAAAAGGGCGGGGCAGTGTCGGTCAGATCAGGTAGGGGGTCAGATGAGCCTCACACACACACAGTAGCAATGTCCGTCACTTACACGGCAGTGTCCCGTCACTCACAATAGCAGTGTCCGTTCACTCAGCATAGCAGATGTCAGATCCATCAGCATAGGCATGTCCGAGTCCACTTCTATCTATATTCTAGATGTCCGTCAGCATACGAGGAGCGAGTGTCCGTCCTCACCGCAGCAGCATTTGTCCGTCACTCAAACATAGCAGTGCCACGTCCACTCACACAGAAGTGTCCGTACGCGCACACAGCGAGTGTCGCGTCAAGCTCCCACAGCAGTGTCAACGACACTACACATGAGATGTCAGATCACTCACACACGCATGGTTGTCCGGTACGTCACACAGCCAGTGTCCATCACTCCAAGGCAAGTGTCCGTACTCACAGCAACAGTGTCCGTCACTCAGCATAGCAAGTGTCGCGTCACTCACATAGCAAGTGTCCGTCACTCACAGCATGCAGTGTCCGTCACTCCACTAACAGCAGTGTCCGTCACTGCACATAGCAGTGTCCGTCAGCTGCACCACAAACAGTGTCCGTCACTACACATAGCATTGTCCGTCACGTCACACAGCGAGTGTCGGCGTCTCACAGCAGCCAGAATGTGCGCGTCACGCTGTGGGTCGTGGATCGGCTAGCGTGAGTATGCATTCGCTAATGCGAACGGATACAGGGCTTGGCCATAATATTCATCTTGCTCATTATGCGTAACATCCACGCTCATCTGGCGCGTACAAGCCAGTGATCAGGCACGCTTAATTCACACATACGTGCGTAATATCCATACATACATACATACATACTGATACAAACATACATACATAATACATACATACATACATCCAAATACATGACATAGCATACACATACTCTACATACATCATAGCATACTACATACCATACATACATAATACATACATACATACATACATACATACCATACATACATACATACATAACATACATCATACATACATACATACATACATACATACATACCTACATACATACATACATACATCATACATAGCATACATACATACTTCCATACGATACTACATACATACATACATACATACATACAATACATACATACATACATACATACATACATACATACATACAATACATAACATCATACATACATACATACATACATTACATACATACATACATACATACATCCATACATACATACATACATACATACATACATACATACATACATACTACA